CAATAACTCAATGAGTGTAGCGTTACATGCTCTTAATCCAGAAAACCAAGGTCTCTTCCAGCGAGTTATAGCGGAAAGCGGACCTCTTGCGATGAATTTAGAGCCAAAGAAAGTTTCAAGAGGATGTGACATTTTCCTTAATTGCATTTATAAGAATGGTGTCATTGTTAATTCAGTTGCACTAGTGCAATGTTTGAGGGGAAAGTCGTCGTTCGCGGAAATTCTACAAGAGATATTAAATTTTGAATTTTAAATTCCCGATGGCCCTGTAGTCGATGGGGACCTTATAACTTCTTTTTCAGAGTACACAATGGCCAATATTTCCTCACCAGGCTCTCAGTTTTTTCGATCTTTAGACGTTATGTTTGGCAATACAGATTCAGAAGGTTCGCTTCAACTAGATATCAGTATGGATACCTTAGAACAAAATCATAATTTCAATACTTCATTTGGTATACCAACTAGAATTCTCTGTAATGTTCTTTCGACATTATATGCGAAGGAATTTTTCAATGGAATAAAGTCTGTTGCTGACGCCATTTGCCAAGCATATAGAAAAAACAAAAATGACATACAACAGAGCAGAAGTATAACCAGTATGTACACAGATGGATTAATGGTAGCACCTACAGTCAAAACGCTTAACTGTCATTCAACCCCTGATTGACAATGGGGATGAAAATTTTTTAGATTATGTTTGTCAAAGTACCAAATAATTGGAATCAGCGCCCCCTGTGGTTCATTGGAGTGGATCATGCTGCTGAAATACCGTATTTGTTCAAGTAAGCTGGGGTTCAACCGCAGGATCAATTATTGTCATCGATCATGATCACATATTGGACCAATTTCGCTAAGACTGGGTATGTTGTATGCAATTTTTTTTTAAATTAAAACGTTTTGAAATAAAAATGAATAAAGCTATATGCTGTTAATCCCCGTTGAAATTTTAACAAACAATAAAAAAACGATATCTTAATACAAACTTGATACAAGTGAATTGATCGCGTCAAAAACTGTCGGTTCCATTGTTAGAAAAATATTAGTCTTAATGTAAATCGACCTTTCAGTGAATTAATTCTTTTCAGAACCCGGAAATCCGTTTTGTATAACGCACTATTTATATCCGCTTTTTGAGTTTACATTTCACCTTGGCTTTTAGTTTTGGAGACTCTTTGCTGATTACAAGACGAAGCCTATGGATAATGGTGGGAAATTTTGTAAACGGAGTAAATTTAATAATTTCAAAAAGTTTTGTTTTTTTTAGTAATGGTATAAAAACACGATGATCGCTCAGCAGAGGTATAAACACGGATATCGGTATTACATATTAATGCCACTTAAAGGCGATAATGATCATCAGCGATTATGCAGAACGTAAATATTCATAATTGAAATAATATAGAACAGCGTTCTTTTTGCTTTCTATAAATGAAATATTTCAATGTCAGATTCTGAAAAGAACTTTTAGCGAAACGTTAGGAAAAGCCGGCCTGATGTTATGCCATGTTTTAAAGAGGAAATTAGTTGTAATTGTGTAAAAGCGAAAGATGTAAATGACTGATATTGTTATATTACAATATTATCAGACTATCGGAACAGTACTACGATGTCATTTCATAACATTGCCAACAAAATCGTAATCGATCATAGTTTTAAAAATAGTATGTTAAGGTATGCTGTTTACTCTAATGTATTTATGTTAACGTCTTCAAAGAAATTGAAAAAAAAATATTATCCCGTAAAAAACTGAAAACGAAAAAATTGGTTTTGAAAACGACTTTCCCATGAAAAAAGACCAAAACATGTAAGATTTGGGGACAGCCATGCATGATATTATGCATTTCAATTGTATTAATGTGATACGTATTTATATTTATTTTGCTATAAAAGTGAATTATTTGAACAAAATGTTTTATTCAAATTGTCAAAATTTGTATCAGTAGTTCATGAGTACATATCTAGAGGTGTGATCCTGGTAGTAAAAGTAATATAAAGTAAAAATGAAAATAATTTAATCGAATTGTATCCAATAAAAGCTGAAGGAATGAACTACCTGAACGACAAGAAATAATAAATCATAGTTACATTTCATTACATATACAGTAGATAGATGGACGATTGTACTGTAAATAATCAATACAAAATGAAATTCAAGACAATATTACATGAACAGCCAGAAGTTACTCCTTAGTATTTTTAATAAACATTTAATGACCTACAAATATTTAATCAACACAACAATCATGAATGCAGAAAGATGTCCGTATATTTTATCATATGAGTATGTTAAAAAAAAAATTAAAAAAAAAAAAAACAAAAAAAAAAAACAAAAAAAACTCACACACAATGGGAAACGTCTTCCATACCAGCCTTGATCTAAATTAATTACTTAAGTTTTGCATCTTACAGATCACCGGACGGTCCAGGTCTTCCGCATTGGCCGAGATACGACGCAATCGCTGGATTCTATCAATGCCTTGACAGCACTATATTACCATATCATCACGTGACGCTGGATAGGGTTCAGTTCTGGAACCAGTACCTTCCGTCACTGATGAAAAATATTTACAGAGTCGTATAATCACATTTTACCTATCATTGTAACAATGCTCCGATGTCAACGTTTTCATAATAACAGTTTCTCCTATCATTACTTCATGATACATCAATCATATTTGTTTTTCACGTCATCAATTTTTCGACAAGATTGCATGATGATTCGAAATCGAATAACAGGCAAAATATATATAGAATATTTCTATCAAAAGGTAAGATATCTAAAGATAATCAAATGTATGACACATTTAAAAACATTTGAAAGGAAGATTTAACACATAATCAGGTGTTAAACAAGGCTAATGCGAAGTTGCTCATGAGAAAAACTGACGTCTCCTATACCTCATACACATTTACACACGCATGTACAGTACAAGTACATTACTTTCAGCTTATATAAAGATTCATCATCATAGAAATTCATTGGCAGAACAAAAGTCCATGCTAATTTGTCACTCGGCTATTGCTACCAAAACAAGTGTTTAGTACACTTACAGTAATTTATTCATTTAAAACACTTGTGAAACTACTCAAAATGCCAATTTAATTACACGTAATATTCAGCACTTATGCTCAACTAGAATCTCTAATGTTATTCAGAGTCTGTAAGTTTTTGGTTTGGTTGATACATCCTGGCTCTTTATATTAAGTCATATACAAATTAAACGACGCAACATTGAAACCATGCGCATTCTTAAGAATTTGTTTATTTGTTGTCCACTGCAATCAGAACAACCTTGAAGAAGAATGCTTATTTCCAATGGGATTAGTACTGGGTTGTCGTATCTATAAGGAGAATAAACAGTGTAGTTATTTATTGTTAAATATAAGACATTTTGTAAAGTATCAATTTAATGTAATTAAGCTGAGCTATCAGAATTCGAAATTACTACTGATTTTTTTAAGTTGAAGAATATATCAATCATGTTTTAATGCGGTAAATTCGACTGTAGAATATTTTATAGAGTCTCGTCCTGACAATATCGTCACGATTCCTCCATAGTTTATCGTGTCCTGAAGAATTAATAACGCCAGTCCTGATATTATGTACATGCTCACAAATAGACATATAATGTGAATTAATTCGTTTTGACTATTCTGTATCTGATTTTAAATTTCTGTTGAAAGTTGCTATTCGCGCGAGATTTATCGCAGAAGGTAAACTTTTCAGATATATCCTGTTACTAAATTATGATCGGTTTCAGCTTTAAGATTTCAGAATGTGTTATATATTTTCTGTGGTCCAAAGCAAGTTCCGCTCAGTTGCTTTTGTCACTAAATACATGATCCTTGTTATTATTAATTTCATGGTGAGTGACCCTTACAGGATTGAAGATATGTAAACTTATCTTTCATTTGAAAGTTATGTCCATTGGTGATACATTGAAAAATGATACAGGACTGTTTCGCTGGCATATCGCAATAATTCTTTGTTCTGTCTGACGGTGTCGGACGTTTGGCTCTGTTTATGATAATGTCGGACGTGAGGTTTCTGTGCCAACGATATGAAAACACTTACCGATAACTGTATAAATGAAGAGAGACAGAGGATTGGGGACTTAATACTTTAATTGTTATTTTATATTATATATATATATATATTTATATTTGATGCAGTTCAAGCTAACGTATAGAGTAAATGTTACCATGAAATTAACACATTTCAAGATATATGTCGCGTAATCGCTTATGCATGACGATGCAATGGTTTTCCTGTTAGCAATTCATATTAGTTTCATAGTTTCTATTTTCTTGAAAATCACCGCTGTGCACACTATGAGCTCTAATTACATTTATTTCGTAATCAACACCAACGTTCAAACTGAAATATGTTTTCTTTATAATTAAGTTGATCTCCCAATAGGTTACTACATTTGTGTTGCACAGTTACGCTCTAAGAAAAGGCTCCATATTACTTATATATGTATGGCATTACTTATACATTGTAGATATACTTACATTCATGTAGCCTTCTTATCAATGCATATTACAGTATTAAATAAATTGCGTATATATCATACTATCATTACCAATAGCCTGTATGAAATAAATAAAGAATTGTATGTTTATGAAAATATGGCCGAAACGTTTCGTGAAGATGTCATTTGCAAATAATTAGTAGTGAACGGTATCACACACGGTGTGTTCTATGCTCGTTGTTATGCCTGTTGGACAATCATGTGCTAGCTATAAGATCAGCGAATGACAACGAATGACATTGTCTATTGTAATTGTGATCAGGCATCAATACTAACTTTATCAAAAACACGCCAAATTCATATATATATATATATATATATATTGTTAAGACCTAAAGACTTTCAGTTTTCTTTACTTTGGTAGATAAAAATTCCCATTCGTTTGTTGGCCGGTGTGGTATCACTCAGGATTAAGATAAGTATACAACACATGAAAAGCAAGGCTGGTGGTTCCAACATTAGATAATGTTTATCACGGGCTTTATCCATTACTTTACCCTTCCTACCAACCCAATACCTCTCATTTGTTCTCTGGCATTGGATAAGACTGGACTGACCACCACAGGTAGGACCTCTATGAGCTTATAATAATCATTTTGACCTGCAATATGCATTACATGTCAAATCTTAAGTATTTTACACGGTGGTACTTTTACATCAGAGTTGTAACTATATCTGGTAAGTCACATGTTATGAAATGTTTCATTTTAAGAGAAATTCCACCCATAGTAAGTGTGAAAAAGACACACACATTTAGAGTTGTATACATTAGAGCTAAACAATTCATTAAACTGCATAATGCAACTGTTTCATCCGTGTAGACTGGTCAATGATGCTAAGAGCCTATATTTTGAAGCTTAGAAGGCGAATGAGGAAAATCGATAAAGAAAGTCAAAATCTAAATGGGGAGTTCACTAACCACAATAAATATCGTAACTTGCATACATCCGATAATTTGGGAATAACGTCAGGTCCATGTGTTTATTATAAAGTAAAATGTGCCATGCAGATTACGGCAAACCTCAGGGACAAAAAGTTTGTTTCTTTATATACGTTAAGAATAGCTATTTTTAGCGATATTTATTATCAAAAGAATGATTCGAAATATGAACAAATAGTTAAACATATGAATTATCTCCTTGTGTAGAAAATCATTTTCAATTTTTTATATGAATTTTGCCTCAGGTAGATTAGCATGCCACCGTCCTATTACAATAATACTTAACGGCCATTAAAATAATGGTACTAAAATTACAACTTTCGCATTGTATTGTAACGTCACGATAACCATGTCTGCAGTATCTTCTTTCAGTTGTTCGTCTTATTGGATTTACTCTTTAAACAGAGGATTTGGTCATTACAAGCGGAAACTTAATAACTATTTTAAAAATGTTTTGGTAATGCAATATGAATAATAAAAGTTTTTCCTGAATACAGATATCTAAAGCGATCCATTGAATTTGCCAGTAGGTTACGTCTAAACCTTTTTATCTAAGGTATATCATATATATGTTTTTATTAATAACAGGCGTAATATTAATAACTGGAATTCATTTTTATTTCAGATTGTTAATAAAAATGATTAATAAACCGGTCACGTTGTTACTAGTGCTGGTTTGTGCGGGTTTTACAACTGGTGTGACTTACAAGACGGTAAGAACACCATCTGGACCTGTCAGGGGCATCGCCGTACAGAACAGAGACCAATTCGTATATCAGTACCGAAATATTCCTTACGCTAAACCCCCTGTCGGGGATCTAAGACTGAAAAAGCCAGTTCCAATTGGTAGTTGGACAACTGTCCGTGATGCCAGTTCGTTTGGACCGTCATGCATGCAAGACCCACAATATGTTCCCCAAATACTTGAGAACAAGGATATGTCTGAAGACTGTCTTCAGTTGAATGTTTATACCCCAAACACTGCTTCCCCACAAAACATGAAGAGCGTGATGATCTGGATACACGGAGGTGGATATGTTCTTGGACAAGCGACCATTTATGACGCATCGTCTCTTACAAATGTAGGAGATGTTATTGTCGTTACTGTGAATTACAGACTAGGTCTTCTAGGGTTTCTGAGTACAATGGACGATGCCTCACTAGGAAATTATGGTTTATGGGACCAGCGACTTGCAATTCAATGGGTAAAGCAAAACATTGCTGCATTTGGTGGGAACCCAGACTCCATTACACTCTTCGGAGAATCAGCTGGCTCAATGAGTGTAGCGTTACAAGCTCTTAACCCACAAAACCAAGGTCTGTTCCAACGAGTTATAGGGGAAAGCGGACCTGCTAATTCTCCTCTGGCAATGAGTTTAGAGCCAAAGAAAGTTTCAAGAGGATATGGCATTTTCCTGAATTGCATTAATGAGATTGATGTCAATGTTAATTCATTTGCACTTGTGCAATGTTTGAGGGGGAAATCGTCCGCAGAAATCCTTCAGGCGCAATCAAATTTTGATGACGACAAATATAGAGGTTATAAAATTTCCCTTCGAGATGCCCCTGTAGTCGATGGGGACTTTATCACTGCTTTTCCAGAGGACACAATGGCCAATATTTCCTCACCAGGCTCTCAGTTTTTTCGATCTTTAGACGTTATGTTTGGCAATACAGATTCAGAAGGTTCGCTTCTCCTAGATATCAGTATGGATACCTTAGAACAAAATTATAATTTCAATACTTCAGTTGGTATACCAACTAGGATTCTCTGTGATGTTCTTTCGCCATTATTTGCGAAGGAACTTTTCAATGGAATGAAGCCTGTTGCTGACGCCATTTGTCAAATGTATATAAATGATAACGACAGACAGCAGAGCAGAAGCATTATTAATATGTACACAGATGGAGTGATGGTAGCACCTACAGTCAAAACGCTTAACTGTCATTCAACCCCTGGATTGACAATGGGCAGGAATACGTTTCAATTTATGTTTACCAAAGTACAATATTTTGAGGTATCTCGACCTTCGTGGTTCATAGGGTCAAGTCATGGCTCTGAACTAATGTATTTGTTTTCCTATGGTGATGCTCACCCACAGGATCCATTGCTCTCTTTGACCATGATGACTTACTGGGCCAATTTTGCGAAAAATGGGTATGTAATATGTTTATTCCATCTAGATTTCCTTCATTCTCTTTTAATTTTCCAAAGTCGACTCCTAGGCTTAGCATTAAAGCATGATCGATCAATATGTTTAATTTGTAGACATGAATGTGCTAAATTTACAAAAAAAATAAGTACATTAAACTTTAGAAAATACATTGAGGTGTATCCAATATCAGGCTATATCTGAATCATTTACTCAATGTTGCATTTCACAGATCCCCGAATGGTCCTGGTCTTCCTCATTGGCCGAGATATGATGCAGTTGCTGGGCTGTATCAGCACTTGGACAGCAATATATCACCACAATATCATGTAACGCTGGATAGGATTCAGTTTTGGAACCAGTACCTTCCGTCATTGATGAAGAATACTCAGAGTGTCGTAGGATAAACACATCAGTCATCGCATTGATGTTTTGATATCCGTGTTTTCTGAATAAAAGTTTTCTTTATTACCACTTACATTCTAAGTGTTATAATTACTGAATTTAGAATATTGGTTGTTTGTTAATTCTTGAAATGAATTTCCTTTTTTCGAAATGAAATATCTCTTGATTACCTTCCCTTTATATAATCGCCATTTTGATTTCCTCCTTTTGGGATTATGATACTTTGTTGTTCATATTGAATCATTTGAAAAATAAGAACAATAATGAAATCATAGTGGCCTATTTTCACCATTAAACCCACACATCGTGGTCATGTTTTCCACAGGAAAACAAAACAGCTGTCTAATTCTATCTTAGAAAGGTGTTTTTCCACTTTCATATCTACATATTAATACTGTCGATAACATTTCTTGAAGCAAAAAGCTCGCATAACAAGAGAACGTTTACATTTCAGTTTAAAATGGGGTATTGTGGCGTACAGGGTGGAAAAACAAATATTCTTACAGAAGAAATGTTTTTTTAGAAGAAAGTGTTGAAAATTAATCAATAGCTCTCTGGAGTTCATCTAAACCCTCATACTATTAAGTCAACTTCTTGAATCAACAGTATCACCATAAGATTGTATCCAAGATTTACCAGTACCAAGAACGGTGGCTTGTGGTTTTGACAAAGGCTTGATTGAAAAGCAAGACACACCAGCAATAAAACGATGTTTATATGGATTCTTTTGAAGATTATACAAAAACATACGATGGATAACACTTTTTCATAATTTAGAGTGAGGTAGAGTAGAGCCAAACAATGAATTAAACTGCATCATACATCTGTTTCGTCCTTTTAGGACTCGTTAGTGATACCAAGGGCCTAAATTTTGAAGCCTAGCTTCGGAATCCAATTCAAACGGGGAGGTCTATATCCGTATCTTTAGCAGGCAATATAAATGATCGTAATGCCGAACCATGATTAGTCAGTATTTCGTTTTACGTCTATAGGACGCCTTATCTGCAGGCACATAAGAAAACCTTTCATGCAAATCTGGAAGTGCGGATTTAACAAGAGGATCGAGAAAACTGACCTGGATTTTGTTTTCATTTCAGATTTCAAGCTTCACATTCTTTCATGAAAAAAGAACTAAATTGATTTAACCCACTCAGAAAGTGTATCCAACGTAGCATATATTTCGTTTCACTTATTCTCTGGCATAGCTTTCAACAGAATCCATAGATATGTTTAAATTCAAATACTAATTAACGGAGGGGGTTTCACAATATTATAATAATAATAATAGACTTTATTTAAAGAGGACAATACATGTTTAGCCAAAGGCTAATCTACCACATGGTTCTCAAGTTAGTAACATATTACATTCGTTAGTAAATGTATCACATGATATCACAATCAGATGCTAAAATACATACAAAATTATAATAGTGAAAGACATTATAACATATCACAGTCAGTATTAATCAAGATTATCAAAGATAGCACAAACACATATTTGTGCTAATTTGATTTGTCAATTAAATGGCTTTAAGTCGTATATACATATATGCTAACATAGCAAAAAGTAAAATTACCAGGATATACGCTAATATAGCATAGATCAAAAAAGGAAAATTTGCATTAAAAAGAACAGTTAAGAATTCCAAAAATAATGAACTAGTTGGTCTCTAAATGAATTAAAATATTGAATGTCTTTTAACAGACTGGGTAGACTATTCCAGTCCTGAGCACCAGATATAAAAATGTTTTGAGTAAAATTTAGTTCTGTGGTTAGGAACAATAACATTTTTTGCCACGGAGAACTTGGTACATCTTCTATGTTCATCATTAACAAGTTTGATATTGTGGCTAAAGTAATTTGGCACCAATCCATGAATACATTTGTAAAACAAACATATTTTCTTGAATTTAAAATATTTTTGAATTGGAAGCCATTTTAAAACAAAAAACATATCAGAGGAAGGTATATCATATGGCACATCAAGTATAACTCTTGCTGCCTGTTTCTGGGCTTTATATAATTTACCCATATGATTTGCATCACATCCAGACCATACAGTACAGCAATAAATAAAATGGGGAAAAATACATTAGTTTAAAACTTCATTCTACCTTGAATGGGAAGATAGGAACGTATACGCCTTAACAAACCTAAGCATTTTCTAATTTTAAACACTGCTTTGTCAACATGACTTTTCCATGACAAACAATAATCCAGATGTATACCTAAAAATTTTTCATTGTCCACTTGTTCTAATTCAGTGTAGCCAGTCACCAAGTTTCAGGCTAAGTTTATAATCTGTAGTCCTGGAGAGTTTCTGTTTTGAAGCAACAATCATACATTTTGTTTTTGGGCATTCATTACACCAACTTGTTAAATTTTCGAAAATCTGTCTGCAAAACATTTTGTATATCTTCTAAGGATTTACTGGCATAATGGAAACTGGAATCGTCAGCATGCATTTCGGTATTTGTATCAACGGATAAAGATAAATCATTGATAAATGTCAAAAATAGTAAATGGCCTAAAATTGAACCTTGTGGTACACCATGTGTAATGTTATTTGTTTCCAACAGAGTACCAGACAAACAGATTTTTTGTGTTCTATTTGAATGATATGATTCAAACCATGATAATGAACTTTCATCACATTCATGTAATTTAAGCTTTCTAACAAAACAGAATGAATAAACCAAAGGCCTTCTTAAAATCTACAAAAATTACACCTGTGAAAAGCAATCATTAATATTTTTGGCCCAAGAGTAAACAATATTTAACATGGCTGTTTCACACGAATGTTTTTCTCTAAAACCAGACTTTGATGAGACAATGAGCTTGTGTTCATTTAAAAACTTGTAAAAATAAGTAAGTACATGCCATTCCAGTATCTTAGATAAATTGGATAAAACAGAAATTGGCCTATAATTATTAAAATCAGTTATTATTTCTACAAAGGAATAACTTTGGCCATTTTCCACTGGTCAGGAAATTTACATGTTCTTATACTAAGATTTATAATATATGTCCGTGAATGTGCAACCTGATTATGAACAAGCTTCCGCAGCTTAGCATTAACACCGTCAGCACCTACAGCCTTCTTTTTATCAGGAAATTACTCACAAATTCAACTGAAACAGCTGGGATAGAAAATTTGTTACCTGTTGTCAAGTTTGCTGACACATATTTATTTAAGTTTGTCAAAAGAAGACTGTAGATCATGAAGTTATGCAGATAACTTACCAGCAATTTCAGTAAAAAATATATTTTAAAAAATTGCAATTTACTTTTATCATATATACTCTCTCCGTCAATATTCAACATAGTAGGGGATGAAGAACATTGTTTTGGAGCGACTTAACGGAAGAGTTTCCACAAATTTCGGGAATTATCTAAATAACATTTTTGTAATGGGATTTGGCCTATCTGATCATATCCTGAACGTTATTACGCTGAACTCTATATTGAGTCATTGAGTTCTTTAATTGGTCTCTGTAACGTATATTGTCAAGGATATCATCGTCCGTCCACTCGGATTGCGTTGGTTTTATGGCACTGTGTTCCTTTATTGGAGCATGTTCATCGAGAACACATGAGAACAATTGATGCCATGTAGATAGTGATTCATTGACATCATCAGATATTTCTATGGCAGACCATAGCTTAGAATCAAAGTTTTTAAATGATCTATACACTTGTCTGTAAGATCACACAGATTTTCTTTTTCATTCAGAATGTTCGCATTGAAATCACCTATATTTATCAGTTCCATATTTTCACTGAGACATTTTCCAATAAAATTTTCATAATTGTTTAACCAAAGTCTTCAATCACAATTTGGCGGTCTGTAGATATTTATTATGATGATTGGTCTTGAATTTTCAAAATTTAATTGTACACAGAGAACTTCAAGGTCAAACAATTCTAGGTCATTTCGTCTAGTGTGGGGTATATCAGATTTAATATATGTCGCTACACCGCCGTGCCTATCGTCATTTGGACGATTAGCACATTCAACAGTGTAACCTGCAATGCTTGTTTCCTGACTGAAAATAGCAGAAGAAAGCCAGGTTTGTTGAATACACAGAATGTCAATTGGTTGTTTTATTAAGTGTATTGATGGTTCACTAATCTTATTGTACAAACTTCGTATATTCCAAGAACAGAGCCGTAACCCAGCTGGTAATCTCAAATGTTCAGTTTTCACATTTTAAATATTTCCATTGTAGGAATGAGTGAGTTTGTTCCCTGTCATATAATCTGTAACTGTGCTTTGCATATAAACAAAGTCAGGTAGTACTGTCGGGCCCCCAACAAGGGTAAACTCCCCATTAAAAATTCTGTCATGGCTGACTGGCCATTCACTAAGAGCTGGTATAATCCCTACTGTAACGCAGATAAGAACAAAGGTAAGTTTACCAGTACATTGTTCACTATCAAAATGTTTTCAGGGAAAGATGACCGCTAGAAAAAACAAAATCCCGGTCCTGATAATGAGTTTCTGAACGCGTTCCTGGTTACTGCTTTACCGATAAATGACGTCTCCTGAACTTATGAAAATCAGCACATTTTTCCATGTATAAGAAATTTGTGGAGATATGATAAAGTATAAAATCATTTTATCATCTGCACCATTTAAAAACATCTTTAAAAGCTATCCTATAATCGCAGCAAATAAGCATAACATGATTTGGTTGAAAACTGGAGGAAGAAACCTCTGGAAAATGTTAAAATGCTGTAAAGAACGAAGTGCAATAATTAATGTGAACACAATCTCATGTTGTAGTTTTTAACCTGCCAATGTTCCAACAATATTGGTTAGGGAAAAAGATAAGATCAAAAATAGTAAACAAATTGCACTAAGTCTTACCAAAATCGTAAAAATCACAACGCCCTCATGTCATGGATATAACGACTACCAATTGCCAACTAGGTGGAAATAAAATGCTAAACACGGACAACAGCTGCTTCAGAACTTGTTGAAACAGTCGTGTTGGAAAT